TAATCCTCCAGTGTGGACCACATTGGGCTGAAGGAAGCTCACTGGAGTTGTCCAAGGTCCCACTGCCTAAACACACCGCATAATCATGTCCATTCTAGGGGACAAATCTAATTGAGGTTTTGCTGCTCTCTGGAACTTGGTCCAGAAGGTTAAGCATAGGTCCCTTTCCCTGAGCCCTACCAACAATTTTGTTCTTTTTTCTCCTCCCCACAGCCAGAGGAATTATTTTCTAGACAGTGTGTAAAAAAGCCTCATCTTCCTCATTATATGTGCTCTCAAATCTTTGATCTAAATAATAAATCCTTTCCAGTTCCCCAAGGAGCTAGATTTTTGAAACTCAAAAGAACATGCTTTCCTCTGCTTTCTGATATCACACCCTTTCTTAACTTAATGAACATTAAACGGCCCAGTAGTTCAAATATCTGATAAAGAATGGGAAGAAGAAAGATAAATGAAAAAAGCTTTGGTTAATTTCACTTATATATCCTTTGCATAGAATACGAATTACACAAGGGCTAGAAACACATATATCTCACATTGTATCCCTACTACTTAGTGAAGTGCATCTAGTAGCATGTAGTAGATCTCGGCAAGTGTTTAAGTGAGTAAATGAACACAAGAAGACAAAATCCCTGTCCTCACGAAGCATGACTACTTCCAATATTGAGGAAGACAACAAACAAAACAAGATTAGGGCAAACTGATAAATAATGTGAAAGAAATAAACAGGGTAGAGTGATACAGAGAATAGCTGGGTGATGGGGGAATGGAATGAGGGACAGAACTACTGATCTGATTGCCCTTTCCCTCCGACCAACCCAACCTCCAAAAGTAAAAATTGAACTTTTGAAAAAAGTAGACAGAAATAGTATAAGTTTAAATGTAAACAGTCATATGAAGAAAGCAAATATAGAATTGCAGTTAATATTTACAAAATCATTATGCAGGTACAATATTACACGCAGATAGTTGTAGTTAAAACACTTTGGGTATTTCATTTCTAAAGTAAAGCTCCACAGGCATTCTGTTTAAAGTTCTTTTCATCTTCTCAAAAGTTACATGCAATAGAGTGGATAAGTTGTTTTAATGATAGTTTAGTTCTTTATGTACATTGTAAAAATGTCAAGCATGTTGATTCTTCAAAAAGTTGCATTTCACTTAGCAGAGAAAATAAAAATGTTCCATTTCTCCTTAGAAAAAGGATAACATTTTCTAATTGTGCAAGCACTTTATGAAAGTATCATTTGACTCTATATTTTGACAGCTGCTTTGCATTTATTATTGGAGAGGCTCCTCTTGCGGCATGTTCCTTGTTTTTTCTTTTCTAGTCAAGAAGTGTTAATATTATTTCGGAATTACTCAAATTTAAGAGAGTGATAAAGGGTCACTCTTCAGGGGTCTTAATAACCCCCTAACTTCTTACCCCTTTAAAAGGTTTTTGAGGAAAAAAAAAGAAAGAAAAAATGGTTTTAGATTATGAGCTCCTTGTTTTGAGAATCAGTACCATTTAGCCTCATAGAATACAACTTTCGCATTTTGCCTGGCATTTAGTAGGTGGTCAGGAAGTGTTTGCTGAGTTGAGCTGGTTTTGGAAAAGGCAAGGGATTATTATCCTCATTAATCAGATCGGGAAACTGAGGCCCAAAGAACTCGAAGATGCATTTGCATGTGTTTGGTACTTTACTGAAGGTTCTTACCCAATTTAGCTTCTTTAAAAGTTGGTCCTTGCCACCATTACATGTAAAGTAGGAAAAGAGAAGAGTAATGATGTGTTTGACATATAGTGAGTTAGATCACTGCTAGACTTCCCTATATACAGCAAGCCAGTCTCTGCTGCTAAAGGAAATCTAAAACTTAATAATTAAAAAGCTCAGATTCTTGAACTTGGTAGAAGGAAGGTTATTCTTTCAAGGACAAAAAACCCCCCAGAAAATCTATAGCAACCTTTGGAGTAAAAAAAGTCCTATCATACATAGAAAAAAAGGCTCATATACACTATTGGTGGTAATGCAAGTTGGTCCTACTTTTATGGAGGAGAATTTATGAAGATCTACCACAATTAAAATGAATGTAACTTTGACCTAGCTTTGATCAAGAAATTTGTGAATGTATTCACACTATATACATACTAGCACAAAAGTGCAAAGATGGAAGAGGATTTAATGAATATATAAATGTTCACTCTGACATTGTCAGTAAGAAGAAAACTTAAAACATTTTCGTGTTCGATAAATTGCTGGCCACACAAATTATGAGTTGTGTGGGTAGTGATATTTTATGTAGACATTTGAAATAAAACATTAATCTATGTATTGACATGAAAAGATGACCACAACATAACAAATCAAAAGCAAGTTGCTTAACAGTGTGATTTCCTTTGAATAAAATAACTCACCACAGTATTAGTGACTGCTACCTCTAGAAAGTAAGACAGGCTATCTCTTACTTTATTCACTTCCATAGTACTTAATTTCTTTTCAAAAGAAAATGGATTAGTTTTAAAATTCAGCTGGGCGAGGTGGCTCAAGCCTGTAATCCCAGCACTTTGGGAGGCTGAGTGGGGTGGATCACAAGGTCAGGGGTTCGAGACCAGCCTGGCCAACATGGTGAAACCCTGTCGCTACTTAAAAATACAAAAAACAATTAGCCGGGCATGGTGGCATGCACCTGTAATCCCAGCTACTTCAGAGGCTAAGGCAGGAGAATTGCTTGAACCCGGGAGGCAGAGGTTGCGGTCAGCTGACAGTGGGCCATTGCACTCCAGACTGGATGACAGAGTGAGACTCCGTCTCAAAAAAAAAAAAAAATCAAAAATTAAGAAGAAGCTGTTTCATTCTGGCCACACAAAAACTTTGTTGTTTTTTAAAAATCAAGAGTAAGTGGAACCCGGGAAATGATTAGTAATGGTTCTACTTCACCACAGTACCTAGCACAGTGCTTGTCACATTGTTGGTGCTCAATAAATATTTTGAGGGAATGAGTGAGTAAGGATGACTAAATCTGGGCACGCTAGTAAAGTGAGATGGAAGGACATAAGAGCATTCAGATTTTCTAACCCTAAAATCCAAGCCAGTGAGTCAATGAAGACTTTATGATGACCATGCTGCTACGGTTGATTGATGTTAAAGAAAGATTGGCTACTTGCCAAAACATAATTTGAGGGTCCTAGCATTAGAAAAGGATTCTTGCTAAGCCCCAACCATGGTTCTTCTTTGAGCATCTCTTATGGCATCTACCTGTTGGTGTAGAGGTCACAGAAGCTTTATGAAGAGGGAATCTGAGAGGGTGGCCAACTGGTCCAGTCTATTCACACACTGAACCTCCTCAGCAACATCCCCCAAATAAAAAATTTAGATTGACTAAAACCAGTGCTTCCATTTTCTCCTGGGGAATTCTTTCCTTATCAGCTTTAACTACTAGAAAGTTCCTTATGGCACTGAAATAGAACCTGCCTTTGTATAAAATGTACCCACGGACAATAAATCTAAGCAACTCTGCATAGTGGTTTAGAGAACAGGTTGTGGACTCACAGATCTGCCTTGAACCCTAGCTTCTACACGTAGGTGCTTTGTGATCCTTCAGCAAAAATTACTAACTCTCTAAACCTAAGTTTATTCTTTTAGAAATGGGAATAATTACAGTTTCTATTTCATGGAATGGTTTTAAAAATATTATAAATAAATATATGCAAACTGCTCATCACAGTGTATGGCACAAAATACTCAATAAATAATATCATTATAATTGTTCAGGCCTTTTTCACCAGGAATTCGACAGAAACAGGGAGGCAAGTGGTATAAAACAGCAGTGAAAAGATGAGGTGTCACTGCCGGTGGGCTGGTGCCTGAGTACTCTGATTTCAAGTGACTCAAACACCTCCTTTGTTTTGCTCACTAGAAACAAATTAGAACATTCTCCAAGCAGGGGGAGAAAAATTTCATACCATTAATTTGACAACAACAAAAAGTTTGCACATTCACAATTACAGAGGCTACCATATACCTCATTCACCTCTGGCGGCGGGGGGTGGTGGTGCAAGGAAATAGCTCCCTCTTGAGCTTCTCTCGATACTTTTCTCCCTGAAGCTTCCTAACCCTCAAATGGCTATCAGGCAAAACACAAGTCTTCTCTAGCCATCCTGAAACATTTTTTATGGCTAATGACTACCTATCAGTCTGGAGTTGACTTTATATTATTACTCAAGACATAAATAATAAATCCTAAGTGTATTCAGGAAGGTATAGTTGAGCACGATGTATATATATCTTTACCACATAAATCTGTATTATATACCATATGAAATTCAGTAGACTAGGAGACTAGGATCTCAATTTACTCATCTATAAAATGCTTACAATGGATGGTTCTTACACTATGTTCTAAGGAGTTCTAGGACTGCACGGCAGTGCTGGTTGCTGCTTGACTTGGGCTTTAGGCTTCCATCTTGTTTCAAGTAGAACAGCAGTGTTTTAAAAGATATCTCTTTTCTCATTAGCTCCCCTCAAACCATTGCTCTGGGAAGGGCAACCTAAGCAGGGCAAACCACATCTCTGACTTTAGAAAAACATGAACTGCTGAAAGAAGCCTGTTGAAACAATATAACAATGCAGCTTGCCTACTTATTGGGGGCTTGGGTGCTGAGAAAGGGGAAAGGTTTATAGGAGAAGAATAGTAAGGTTATAGAGGGGCCATGTTTGACTGAAGAGGTGCCTTCTGAATCTCTGTGGAATGCACAGCTGTGGAGCCAGCTGCATCAACACAATCACAGTGCCCTGCATGATGGGCTGTGACCTCCCTCTGTGGGGACAGCAGGGTGTTGGGGGAATGGGACTGGACGTGGAATCAGAATACTTAGGAGTGGGTCTCAGTGCTCGGACAGGGAGCTTCCTCTCTCTGAACTGCTACTTCCCTACTGAAAAACAAGAATAAACATACCCACCAGATCAGCCTCACAGGCATGTTGTATGGTTTAAATAAAATGAGGTCTGCAAAGCATTTGGTAAATTAGAAAGCTCAATAAAGATATAAGCTGTATTCATTAGCCCATCAGATGTCTAAATGTGATCCTCAAATTCCAAAAAGCCTGCTAAGATCACTTTCCTAATAGATGAATATAAAAGGTTAATGAATTATCAAATTAATGAGGTGTTTCATTATGTTCATATACTTTTTCAGTATGTCAAGACCTTATGAAGAACTACATATGAAATTACAAAGAAAGATCTAATTATATAAGAAAAAGTATATATATTATAAAGTCTAATTATGTGATTTCAAAAAATATGACTAGATTATTCTCAAAGAACTACTGTAGTGGCGATTGTTTTTTTAAAATGTATACAGAAATATCAAAAGTTTTACAAAAATATCCAAAGTCCAGAGACTCTATTTTACCCTTCAACAAGTAGTGTATGCTTCACTCCTATTTTAGGCTGTTGCATCTCAGAATTGGATGTTATGTGTCTCTGCTCACGTCGTCCATGTAGACTGAGATGCCAGATGACCATGGAACTCCACTTCCTAAGGAAAACCATCAACTTTTCTGGTTGGGGAGTTCTCTAGAGCAATCCTCTTCATTCTCCTCTGAGCGAGACAGATTCAGGACACTCATCACAGGATGGATCCAGGATGTAGTCTGTGTTACATGACTTGAGAAGAACAAGAATGCAATTAGAATCCTAAAGACTGGCTTTCTACTCATCCATGCAAGTACTGATCCTGGTGACATTGCTTCTACCGTAGTAAAGTCCCTGTGATAGGAAGCAGTTAGAAGTAGATCCAATAGTTTTAATAAGTCATAGACACATTTTAAGGTTCTACAAAAGCCATTTCTTTCTTTCTTCTTTGGTTAAAAACGAATGCAGGTGAATGCAGCATCTCTAACGCCTCTCCTTTCAGGGTCTGACATTCAGTCAGTCAGCAAGTCCAATGATTGCCTTGCTGTAACATCTCTGGAATCTGTTTCTTGTTCTCCTTTTTCAGTGAAATAGGCTGGGTCACTGAAATAGTTTGCCTCTCTGCCTCTGCTTTAGTTCTTTGTAATTCATTCTCTACTCCAGCCAAAGAACTTTCTAAGTGACAAATCATACACTGTTACTCACTTGCTAAACATTCAATGCCTTCTGGACAAAACACATACTTTACTATGAAATACTTTGGTTTTTTTAGTTGCCTCAACATATCTTTTTTTTTTTTTTTTTTTTAAAGACAGAGTCCTGCTCTGTCACCTAAGCTGGGGTGCAGTGGCATGCTCTCAGCTCACTGTAACCTTTGTCCCCTGGGGTTCAAGCAATTCTTGTGCCTCAGCCTACCAAGCAGCTAGGACTAAAGGTGCACATCACCACACCCGGCTAATTTTTTGTATTTTTAGTAGAGACGGGTTTTTGCCATGTTGGCCAGGCTGCTCTAGAATGCCTGGCCTTAAGTTATCCACCCACCTCAACCTCCCAAAGTGCTGGGATTACTGGGGTAAGCCACTGCACTCGGCCAACAATAACTTCTTCTTTTCCATAATCCTTTCCCATGAGAAGTTAACTCATTAATTCTAAAAAAACAAACATCCCTTAAGAATCTTCCAATCTGTGCCCATGGTCTTATCTCTTATTACATTAAATTATAAATGCTAATTTGCTTTTAGGCCTTCCTACTACATATGAAGCTCCTTAGGGCAGGAACTATGTTTCTTATCTCTGATTTTATGGGGCCTAACATGTTCTCAGAACAAATGACCAGCATGCTGAAAAAGTGTTTCAGAGAAATAACACAAACAGAGATGAGAAAAGAAGTATAAAAGATATTAGGTATGTCTAGAAAGTGGTGACACATCACAAAATCATGCTTTTAACCGGGTCATGGTATTTCTTACACCTAGCATTCTACTCCCAACCTTTGGCTGGATGAATCTCCTAAATCCACCACCATCTTCCCAATTCCTGAGTGCACAAATTAGGACAAGGACTTGTTTTTTCTCCTTGGACACTCTTTCTAGCCCTGGTTTACCCCACTCCTTCTTCAATACTAGATCAGTTTCCCTAGCCTTCGTCCTACCCAAACTCAACCTCAGAAGCAGCATCGTGTCTTAGATCAAGTGCATTTGAAGGCCAGTACTTAAAAAGATGGCTTAAGATTGTGAATCTGAAAGTACTGCCTACATTATAAAGTAACATTTTCCAAAAGATGTTACCAAGAGTTTTAAATAAATGTTACTTAAAGAATAGCCTTGCACAGTGGCTCATGCCTATAATCCCAGTGACTGACTTGGGAGGCTGATATGGGAGGACTGTTTGAACTCCAGAAGTTTGAGGCTGCAGTGAGGTATGATCCACTACACTCTGTCCTCCATCCTGGGTTACAGAACAAGACCCAGTCTCAATCAACCAATCAGTTAATCAATATTATGTGAAGAATATAATTCTATGGTCAAATAGTTTGACAAAATTGAATAGGTTTCTTTACTACAGGATTTCCCAGAGAACTTTAACATGGTAATTGTGCTATATGAGTCTCCAAGACTATGTAATATTACTCAAAGTAACTTATCTCTGTTGACAAACACAGGGCTAATCTTCCATAGAACACAAGTTGGGAACTATCACAAAAATGCATTCACTTTATTTGCCACTGATTACAATACTGAAAATGTTAGATAGTACAAATGGTAAGTTCCACTGTTATTATTGGTTTGGTTTGTTTTCAATCCTATATATATATTTTGTACATCCCCCACACACAAATTGTTCAGCTCCTCTGTTTAAATATTAAAAGTGTATCTTTTCATGAAAGAAGATTACTAGCGGTTTTATGATGGCATAAAAAGGGTTCAAGTTCTTTAAGAATCAAGGTGAAAGTAACAAGGCCCAGGCATCTTCATAGTTTCAAAAGCTTAGAGTGTGGTTTAGTGTACAAAGAATCATTATTCTTTTGACAATAATCCACATTACTAATATCTCTTTAAAATGGTTTAATGGAATTTCTTATTATGGAGGCCAAATTTACTAAAGCATTTGATTCGGCGCAGGTTAACTTCATTTCAAGGCCTTTATAAAGCTGGAAAGCTGCCTAACTTGAAAGTGGTTTTAAAGAAATACTAATGAGTGTAACATGAGAGGGCTGGAATGCCACTGCAAGGTGAAATGAGGACACATCGCTGGGTACAAACTACATGTTTAAAACTAAAAGGAAAAAGCTTGGTGAGACAGCTTTGCTTATTTTAAAATATTGGTATATATATTAATACCTTAATGTTTATCAGCACATTTATAATATATTCGTCCAAAGAAGAGACTATAATTTAAATCATTTTAATTCCTCTCTCTCTGTAGTATAAAGTTCTATAGTTGGAGGAGATGGGAAGGAGGAAAAACAGGAGCAATTACCTGAGGGTAAGTTCAGGTAGTATGCTTTGCTATTTGACTTTTTATAAATCATATTCTCGTGCTTGAAATATTACATCTGTCCATATATGAACATTCCATTAAATTGCTAACTTAAAATAATCAAAAGGAAAATGTCTAAGAAAAAAATGTAGTTATAGACTCTGAATGGTGAATATCAGAAAGTTCTACCAGATGGTCATCCTTGCCAGTAACTTTTATTAAGCACTTTTTAATTAACAAATGAACATCTGATCTACTCCAAATATAAAAGTTACATCATAAAATTTGATTAACCTTATAACTTGATTAATCTTGTCTTCACAATATGCTTTTTGTACATGACTAAAAACACACATGCACACACCTAAGCGTCAAATATGCAATTAGAACAGCTACTTACTAGAAGAAATAAAACTAAAGTAACAGAGAGATATATTCTGTGCTTCAAACACACATTGCAGACCTGGGTCTTTGTTAAAAATGTCCAGAACCAATGGGACACAATGCTTGTGAAACTCAAGTAATGCATGTAAAGTGCCTGGCAGAGAGGAGTTATACAATAAATAATCATAGCTAGTTTTATTGATAATTAGGGATTTCTGATTATTGTAAGAAAAATTTGGAATTCTTCCTATGAGGCTGGAAGAGGGCCATTTGTGTGTATACCATTCAATTTTATGTCATAGTGAGCACTGTGGCTAAAGAGCTTTGACATAATCGGTATGATGAGATAATCCCAGATTTACCGGCTTGGAGAACATTCTAGTATTAAAAATATTTCCTCTGTGATTTGTGTGCTTGGTAATTCAGCTGATAAGAGAGAGAATAAGTCAGCCCTGTTGACTCTGTTTAATTAATAAAGATCCCATGGTTCATAAAGGGAGATGTTGCTACTTAGTATAAAAAATTTAGAGGTTTAGAAAATAAATGAAGCTTACTATGAAACATGAAAATTTTCCATTTGAACATACAGTACCTCTGGCAAATGCTGCTGAAGAGACAGTGCATCTGACCTGATTTGGAGAGCAGTCAACAGCACTTCAGATATATTTAAAAATCTAAAAAGCATAATACCATTTGCCTCTGAATGGTTGCCAAATTTGTTGTTGGGAAACAATAATAGCTGATTTGGGAAGATAACAGTATTGTGTGTTTTAAAAAATAATATTAGTAAACTGAAAGACACATTTTAGAGCTTATTAAAAATCCTAAGAGAACATGCTTTATTTTATTGGCATAGAAATGTAAGTGAATTATTTAAATCTCATTATAATTACCCTCCTTATGTTTCTTACCTCCTAGCTAAAGGAGCAAAATATTTTCTTTCAAAATAAAAATTACGACAACCTGTTAAACATAAAGTGGTTTAAAGATAAAAAGGGCACTTGTTCTGTAGAAATTCATTCTTACAACCATCTGTGATGATGAAAGACATTCTTTTGTTAATCCTCCATCATAGATGGCACTATTTATACATCATTGTGAATTTACATGTACTATTTTATTATGTTTAAGACAAAGCTGTGGAATAAAGAGCCAAAAGTAATTAACTTCCAGTGTCATTTTTGGGGGAGGGGTGATAATCATATGTATATAGTATTTACATAAACTAGAAAACAAAGACAAATAAGTAACTATATGTTAATATAATTTGTTTCAGGCACCAGCAACTTTGAATCACTGGAAAATTTTACAACTGGCCATAAACTGCAAGTAGTAATGATGATAAAAAATTTATATTTAAAAACTAATTCCAATTGAAAACAAATTAGAAGGTAGAAATGCAGATGAACCTTGTCAATAAGATTATTAAAAAGTAACCAAACCATGATAAAGCAGCATATAATCTTATCTAAACACTGGTTATGAGAATAATTACAGATTAATAATAGGTAGTATCTATTCTAAAATATGTTTAAGCGAAAGTTGCAGGCATTTTGTTCCCACTGGTATATAAGGAGTATCCTCTTACATAACTTTGAAAATATGCCCCTAAAATCAAAATGAATATTTCTCATTAGTGAACTTTGTAAATATCACGGAACACTTTGGGCATTTTGTAATTAGGCATTTGGAAATCCAGCGAGGCTCTGATCAAGTATTAGCAGGATCTTATTCAAATCTTTACAGTCTAGAGGACAAATTTTATTTTATTATATATTTATGGTAATTTCTATTAAAATCATTTGTCTTTTAAAATCTTATATTCCAATTAATTAAAAAATAGGTCAGAGATATCAAAGCATATTATAGGAATCTAAAGCTATTGTATC